ATCTATCTATCTATCTATCTATCTATCTATCCCTATATATATATCTACAACATATCTATCTATCTATCTATCTATCTATCTATCTATCTACCCATCCATCCATCCATCCATCCATCCATCTATCCATCTATCTAGAATTGCTTTCTAGCAGGGTTATTATCTGCAGGTAATTGGGGAAGAAGGTTGCTATTGAGAACTTTTCTCTCCCATTCTAAAAAGGCTGTCCCAATTTGATGGTATATGGAGACCAAACGAAAACAACCACTGGCTTGATTGAGCTCGCCAAAAAAAAAAAAAAAAGAAATCTCTCTGTTGTGTTACCTGTGAATGCACACTGTTGAAGCAGAAGGCAAAGGGCATCTCTGATTTCATGTACAATAAGTGAATGAGGCAGGTTTTGCCTTGGGGGGTGGTGAAAAGCAGCAGCTGGTGTTTTATCAAGCAATTAAAGGTGACAATTGTTGGCACAGCTAGGAACTCAGAGGGAGCACCAAGCAGTGAGGTGCCTGAAGGTTCCTGGGTGATCAAAAGGTAGCCATCCTTTGGTCCATTATATTTCTGGGTTATTGCATCCAGTTTTGGTCACCAGAATACCAAAAATAAAAAAAAAAAGGATTTATTCTAGAAAGAGTGCAGAGGAAAGCAATGAAGATGATTAAGGGGACTGGAGGCTAAAACATATGAAGAACGGTTGCAGGAACTGGGTTTGTCTAGTCTAGGGAAGAGAAGGACCAGGGGGGACAGGATGGAGGTCTTCCAGTATTTGAGGGGCTGCCCCAAAGAAGAGGGAGTCAAGCTATTCTCCAAAGCATGTGAGGACAGATTGAGAAATAATGAAAGTAAACTCATCCAGGAGAGAGAGCCAATCTAGAACTGAGGAGAAACTTCATGACTAGAACTCACCGTCTCCTGGTGATTGGCTCAGAGTCAGCCAGTCAGCTTGCGTGCCCATGGGCGGGACTAGATCCCACCATCTCTTGGTGATTGGCCCAAAATTCCCTGCTGGTTTTCATGCCTAAAGTGAGATTAGAAGTCACCGTCTCCTGGTGATTGGCTCAAAGTCACTCAGCTGGCTTTCATATCTAAGGCAGGACTAGAACTCACCGTCTCCTGCTTATTGGCTGATAATCATTCAGCAGGCTTTCAAATCTAAGGCAGGACTAGGATTCACTCTCTCCTGGTGATTGGGTGAAAAAAAAATCACTTACTCATCTTTCATATTTAAGGCAGGACTAGAACTCACCGTCTCCTGGTGATTGGCCCAAAGTC